TATGCTTTTATAATAATAATCTGCAACTTAATTAATTCTTTCAAGGCACAAATAAGATTCAAAGAGAATACTCTCTTTATTGTCGTATAAGTAAATCTTGATTGACATACTATTGTAGGCGTATTGTGTAAATCAAATTTCATAAATAAATCATAGTTAAAATATAGTAAGGGAATAGAACTACTCCCATAGAGGCTGTTTGTGTAATGGGTAAGAGCTCTGGCTTTGGAGTCAGACAGACCTAAGATCAAATCCAGGCACTTCCATTTATTAGACTTAACTTCTTAATCTGTGAAATGGGTATATGGTCATTCGTTCAGTGACTGCTTACTGAAGGGCTACTCCATGCCAGGCACTGTTCAAGTAAAGCAGCGCCTCTTTGTAGCATTAGGAAAGATGACCTAAAGCAGCTAGCTCAGTGCCTGGCACATGGTCAGGGCCCAGCAAATGATAGCTGCTGCTCTTTATGGAACACTCGCTGTGCTGGAACTGGGGACAGAGATGGGGAGACATGGTCTCCGCCTTTGTGAGTTTATAGTCCTGAAGAGAAGACAAACCAATGGGCAGACAGTGACAGCACAGGGTCCTAGAGGCTCTGTACACAGGGAAGCACAGAAGGGTATTAACCCAGGCCAAGGGTGGGAGCATCGTGGAGCTTTTCTCACAGGAAGTGCATCTGAATTAGCCACAAAAAAATGGGCCATGCAAAGCATTTGGGCTCCCCTTGTTCCTTTCCTCAGCTGCCTTCACTGCTGGATGGAAGGGAGCTCTATGGAACCAGGCCTTCCTCCCCCCTTGTGGATGGGATTACTGCAGCTCAGGTGGAAATGCTCTCCATAATAATCGGATGCTTTAAAACATCAGTTAAGTGGTTTTAAACTGCCTTCGCTCTCCCTGCCTCACAGAGTATGGAAACATGGTTAGCTACCAGGTCCATGAAAAATTCAGGTCCCCTCTCGCCCCAGGGCTGGGGAGTTGGTCACAACAATCAAACTGCACGTGCAAACAGCCTTTCTCTGCCAGGATCTCTGAGACTGTCAGAACCTCAGCACGGCTACCTGTGGTGGTTTGTGAGGCTGCAGCAGGAATGGGACTGAGAGGATTTCTCCAGGCGTCCAAATTCAATTCTTGCTTCCAAGTCTCCCCCCATAAGCGTTTCGCCAATCTCACCACCAGGTGGCGCTGTGATCCCACTACCGTACCATCGCTGCAGCAGAGGGCTGAACTCGGGCTTGACAAGTACTTCGCCTTAGAGTCTTTTTTTTATAAACTGTGCCTGGAAAATACTGCATTTTTATAACCTCTTATAATCACCAAGTTTTAAAATTGTAAAGATAAAAAGGACTACATGGAAAAACACAGAATAGAAAGATGGTGTTTGATGTTTTTGAAAAAACGCTTTTTCCCAGTGGGCAACAGGTTTGCCACGAGAACACAGATGTCTTGAAAACCACCCCTAAATCAAAGCCAGAATGGGAAAGGAAAAGCCTCCTATCAACATCCTGGTGACTGGACATGTAGATTCGGGCAAGTCTACCACTACTGGCTATCTAATCTACAAATGTGGTGGCATCAGCAAAAGAACTATTGAAAAATTTGAGGAGGAGGCTGCTGAGAAGGGGAAGGGCTCCTTCCAGGGTGCCGCGTCTCGGATGAACTGAGAGCTGAGCACGCGCGTGGCATCACCACTGCCGTCTCCCTGTGGCAGTTTGAGGACAGACAGTAGTACACGACCATTGGTGATGCCCCGGGACACAGAGACTTTATCAAAAACACGACTACAGCCACAGCTCAGGCTGACTGTGCTGTCCCGATTGCTGCCACCGGCATTGGTGAATTTGACGCCCGTATCTCTGAGGATGGGCAGACCCGTGCGCGTGCCATTCTGGCTTACGCACTGTGTAGGCGACAGCTAGTTGTTGGCGTTAGCAAAATGGATTCCCCTGAACCACCCTATGGTCAGCAGAAATACGAGAAGTCATTAAGGAAGTAGCACCTACATTAAGAAGATTGGCTACAGCCCTGACTCTGTAGCATTTGCGCCAATTTCTGGTTGGAATGGTGGTGGCATACGAGAGCCAAGTGCTAACAAGCCTGGCTCAGGGATAGAAAGCTACCTGTACAGGTGGCAATGCCTGGATTGCCTCCTGCCACCGCCTCGTCCGGTGGACAGACAAGCCCTCTCATCTGCCCTCCAGACGTCTGCAAAAGTGGTCATATTGGTACTCTCGCTGTGGGCCGAGTGGGGACTGGTGTTCTCAAACCCCGCATGGAGTCACCTGTGCTCCAGTCCACATGACAACTGAAGTCAAGTCTGTTGAAATGCACCATGAAGCTTTGTGCGAAGCTCTTCCTGGAGGACAATATGGGTTTCAATGTCAAGAACATCTTTGTCAAAAATGTTTGTCACGACATTACTGGTGACAGCAAAGATGGCCTGCCAATGGGAGCAGCTGGCCTCACTACTCAGGTGATTATCCCGAGCCGTCTAGGCCAAATCAGCGCTTCTTACGCCCCTGCACTGGACTGTCACACAGCAAGTTTGCTGAGCTGAAGGGGAAGACTGATGACCAGAATGGCCATTCTGGTAAGAAACCAGAAGATGGCCCTAAATTCTTGAAATGTGGTGATGCTGCTGACATTGATATGGTTCCTGGCAAGCCCACATGTGGTGAGAGCTCCTCTGACGTCCTCCTCTGGGTCATTTTTCTGTGTGTGACACAAGACAGACAATTGTTGCGAGTGTCATCAAAGCAGCGGACAAGAAGGCTGCCGGAGCTGGCAAGGCCACCAAGTCTGCCCAGAAAACTCGGAAGCCTGAGTGAATCCTCTCCCTGGTGCCTGCCACCCCAGACGAAATGAGTGGTGCAAGAACGGTCTCAGAACTGTTTGTCTCAATTTGCCAGTTCAGTTTAGCAGTAAAAAACTAGTTAATGATAACAACGCTCCATAAAGCCTTCAGAAAGGAGAATGTTTTGTGGACCATTTTGGAATTTTTTCCATGGGGCAGTTTTAAGTTATCAGGCTTTAAAATCGGTGCTTTTTAATAGAAACAACTTGACCAAAAATCTGTCACAGAATTTTGAGACCCATTAAACAAAGTTTAATAAGAAAAAAAAAAGTACTGAAAAGAATAGTCTTATGCAACTATACATAAGGTGTATTATCTCGGTGAATTCTCACGATTGTGAGGTGAGCCCTTTTCATAAATGAAGAAACTGACGCTAACTAAAGAAGGGCAGCAACTTGTATTGCTCACACAGCTGGTAAGAGGAACACTTGGATTCAAACCCAGGTTCATCTCAACCCAAAACACCAGGCTTTTTCCGTTAGACCAGACTGCTTCAATTAAGTGAAATAATGACAATACTAGCGTGTATTGAGTATTTACTATATGCTAGGCACTGATTTCAGCACTTTACTCATATTAAGTCACATAATCCTCACAATAACCCTATGATATGGTAGATAATGTTACTCCCATTTTACAGATAAGTACACAAGTCACACTAGCTAGCAAGCTGCTAGTACCTGTGCTTTTATGGAAAGGTGAATTGATGCTATAAACAATGTTTTATTTTTATTTTTATTTTTATTTTTATTTTTTTTTTGAGACAGAGTCTCACTTTGTTGTCCAGGCTAGAGTGAGTGCCGTGGCGTCAGCCTAGCTCACAGCAACCTCAAACTCCTGGGCTCGAGTGATCCTTCTGCCTCAGCCTCCCGAGTAGCTGGGACTACAGGCATGCGCCACTATGCCCGGCTAATTTTTTTAATATATATATCAGTTGGCCAATTAATTTCTTTCTGTTTATAGTAGAGACGGGGTCTCGCTCTTGCTCAGGCTGGTTTTGAACTCCTGACCTTGAGCAATCCGCCCGCCTCGGCCTCCCAAGAGCTAGGATTACAGGCGTGAGCCACAGCGCCCGGCCCAATGTTTTATTTTTAAATCAAGAGCAAAATGCTCATTCCTTCCTTTATGATAAAGGCCATTATAAATATCCCAAAAGCAATAAGATGAACATTAATTCAGTAGCCAGATGGAGAGTTTCTCATTGAAGCTCTGAAAGGATGGAGGAAAAGTAAAGGAAGAGACCAATTTGTGGCTTTAAGAATGCAAGAAGAAATTGTAATAATCCACAAGATTTTACCCACTTGGCTCTCATTTTTATTTCAAAGATAGAATACTCGACATCTCTCCTTCAAGACACAGTGCTCTTTATATCATAGTGAACTCTCACTATATGTAATAAAATATAAATATATTGCAGTTTCTCCTAATTCAAAGTTTATGTAAAATGTGTATTAAGGCAGCAGATTGTTTCTACCTTTTGAGGAAAATTCATTACATCTTTCTGTGTGTGAAATTCCTACATGTTAACAAAAATAAAGTTGACTCAAATTCACGATTTGGTTAAAATTAGGCCTTAAAAAGATCAGGCTCTTCCCTTTAGCTCTGTGACACAACTGTACTTTGCATGGCTTCATGTAGACTTGACAGATAATTTGTCAAAAGTTGAAGTGGTCTCCAATGACAATAGCTAGGGCAAAGGCCATGAACGTTTGCGAAATTCTATTCCTGGCGTGTCGTCATTTTTCTGGCCCTATCATAGGTAGTGAATTTACCCATCCTCTTGGTCAGCTCACAAAAAAGCTGCTAAGCTAACACTTAGTAGTCATGTGACCTGGGAGGAAGTCATGTAACCTCTCTGTGCTCCAGATTCCTTATTTGTGAAGTGGAAAAAAAGAATCATAGGTTTGAATGAGGAAAAAATGAGTGAGTATGTGTGAAGTGATTAGAACAGGGTCTGTCACGTAGGATGTACTCCATAAAATAGGGTAGAGTTTTTTTCTTCTTTTGTTATTACAGGGTATTTTTTCATGGAGCTTGTTTTGAATGGAAAGTATTGCACAAGAAAAGTTGCTACGGTAACTTTCCAGTCTACACACAGAATTGCATACTTTTTAACAAATGTCTCCTCTCTCCTTCCTGTCACCAACAGGGATTATCTCAATGACCAAGCCTTATGGAGCAAGTGCCAAGGGCCCGCTGATGTGGTTCCCTGGAATCTGACCCTCTTCTCCATCCTGCTGGTCATAGGGGGAATCCAGATGATTCTCTGTGCCATCCAGGTGATCAACGGCCTCCTGGGCACCCTCTGCGGAGACTGCCAGTGCTGTGGCTGCTGTGGGGTAAGTAAAGAGCGTTGTTGTTTCTTCTCAGCATGAGGGAGGCCAAGGCAGGGCACCAGCACTGACGGGAGGAGGGGGTGATGAGGGTGGCCACCTGCTGCAAACCAGGCCAGGCTGGGAACTCCATCAGCTCATGGAGACAGCGATGCCGTCGTGTTACTGGAACCTAGAAGTTCTACTTTCTGTGCATGTTAACATACCCAGGCTGAAGCTGGCCACGGTGTTCAGTCTCACATCCAATTGACCACAGTCCTGGAGACAAAGAACTGTATCTACATATAAAAGTTTACAATGATGCTAATAAGAAGATACACAGAAAGTGAGCATTTGTCATATGGGCCTATTGTCAGTAAGAATATCTCACGGCCTGGCCTGCAGTGTTTTCACTTCCTCAGGTGAATAGAACACAGCAATGCAAAACCTAGATTTAGATATGGTTTCTGATTTTATATATATAAATATATATATATATGTATATATATATATATATTTTTTTCTTTTTTTTTTTTGAGACAAAGTCTCACTCTGTTGCCTGGGCTAGAGTGTTGTGGTGTCAGCCTAGCTGGTGACAGCAACCTCAAACTCCTGGGCTCAAGCGATCCTCCTGTCTCAGTCTCCCGAGTAGCTGAGACTACAGGCACATGTACCATGCCTGGCTAATTTTTCTATATATATTTTTAGTTGTCCAGTTAATTTCCTTCTATTTTTAGTAGAAACAGGGTCTCACTCTTGCTCAGTTTGGTCTTGAACTCCTGACCTTGAGCAATCCTCCCGTCTCAGCCTTCCAGAATGCTAGGATTACAGGCATGAGCCACCACGCCCAGCCTAAAATAATTTTTAATAATAAATGATGCAAAACAAAATGAAGCTTCAATTTCTATAAATTCAACACAGGTAAGTTACAAATTAAAGCTCTGAAACAAAATCAGAGAAATATAGAAAATATTCAATAGGCAACCAATAAAGGCCAGTAGGAAGACAGGGGAGGGAGGGGAAGAAGGAAGGGAGAAGAATCTATTTAAAAAAAAAAAGGAATGAAATCATAATTGATTCACTTTTCTACCTTCTAGGGAGATGGACCAGTTTAAACCTCTGTGATGAGCTGCTCTAACCTACAGAATGAAGGAAGATACATTAAACTAATTCTTCTCTTCTTGGGTTTGTAAACTCCTGTCTGCTTCCTAACTAGCAAAGTGCAGGGCGGGCAGAGTTATTTCTTCTTCTTTCCAGCTAGTTTTGTTTGAGTTAGAGTTTTGTCATTTTCAAATAAAAAATAGGTAGGCCACTTAACAAATTTGATTTATTATAAATCTTTCAAATTAGCTTCTTTTTAGAATTTAAGAAGAGGTTCAAAGCAAATTGTTCATGATTGTTTTCCTCAAATTTGTAAAATGTATTAAGTCACATGGATTCTCACACTGCTTCTTTGTATATATTTATTTACATAAAACATAATTTAAAGCAGGAAAATTCATTAAAAATGAGATGCTAAGAACAACTTTTGTTTTCACAATTTATGGGAAAAAAGAATGATTGATTTATCACAAATATTTTTTACTCAATGACTTTTTTGCTAATTTGTTTGAGTTACTTATGAGTAGTCCTTTGAGACTATCATCATTTGCCAGGATTACTTGATGCATATTAAATTAAAATCTGAATTCAGAGGTAAAATAACAAAGATTGTGTGTGTTCTAGGAGGGAGGGGCAAAAGGTTGAATGAGTAATACCTTCTCATCTTTTCTACAAATGCTTTCTTCCCCTTTGAGCAAACAAAAAACTTTTTTAAAAAGTCAATTTGGGTAATAATTTTGTCGGCCTATTGCACAGGATTAAGGTAACAAGTATTATTAATTCTGTGTGTTATATGAAGACATCACTTTGGTTTTATGAGTCAGGCATGAATATGAAGTCAAAGTCATTCTGTTGACTTAGATTCAAACCCCAACTCCACCACACACCAGCTTAGTGGTATTTTCTAAGTCTCCATTTCCCCATCTGTAAAAAGGACTGCTGAAAGGTAATCAATCATCCAGGAAATTTTGAGATCACCCGAGGGAGAAACAAAGGCCTGTGGGATTATCCACGTGACTGACATGCAATAAGAAGCATCCCAGAGAGAATTACAAGCCAGACGGTCTCCCTTCTGCTCCTGCCAGGTTGATAGTCTGCGCTATGTAGGTTAGACACACTGAAAACTAAGTCAAAGAGGTATAGTCTTCAGTAAAGCAACTAACAATCACCTACTGTGTACCAGCCACTGGAGGTGGCTGGCAGAAGATACAAAGAGTTACACGCTGTGATTTTGCCCTCACTGCAGTGAAAACTCTGATATCAGAGATTGTATTAATATATGCCACCTGAAACTTAATAGGCAGAAAGGCACTAAAGATCTCACGGGGGGACTATAAACACACACACACACACACACACACACACACACACACAAGAAGTGTTTCAATTCAGTTCAGACCATTTGTTCTCAAACATGGCTAATCATCAAAATCACCTAGGAAATGTTCTAAAATTACAGATTCCTGAGCCACAGCCTAGACCTACTGCATCTGAAAATCTGGGCACAAGGCATGGAAGGTTTTGTGGGGGGTTGGTCATTTATTTTATTTTTAAAGCTCACCAGGTGATGCTGAAAACCATTCACTTTGAGCAGGGGTCCTCAAACTTTTTAAACAGGGGGCCAGTTCACTGTCCCTCAGACCATTGGAGAGTGCGCACTGTGGGCCCGGGACAAGTCCGCTGCTAAGCAGGACAGGCAGCTGCAGCAAAAACACCCAGAGGGCCGGATAAATGTGCTAGGCAGCCCGCATGTGGCCCACGGGCCGTAGTTTGAGGACGCCTGACTTTGAGTAACCATGGCCTTAGATCACTGCCTGGCAGAATGAAGATGGGTCAGGCCCTATTACTGCCCACCAGGAGCTCACACTTTACTGATGAATGTTAACACCAGGCAGTCCATGCTAAACCCTAAAGTGTGGCCCAGGTAATAAGGTCATGATGCTCCAGAAGTTCAGAGACATCAGGCTACTAGCACTGTTTCCCCTACCTGAGTTCTTTTCTTTTTTTTAAAGATGAACACCATTAATTGGATTATCTGAATTCTTTGATGAGGAAATTTGAATGGGGGTAAGAGGCATCAATTCCTTGTTTAGGGGTTTTCAGTGATACAAAATTTGAGAAAAAAAGGGAATTGTAGTCATCATCAAATCTGGTCTCATTATTTTATAGATGAAAAACTGAAATAGGCCTTTGACAAGTTTTCACACAAAAAGACCATTTTTCAAATTCAGTTACCGTAAAATTAGAGAAAATAGCTTACCATGAAGAAGAGGACTTAGAAGGCAAAGACAGGAAACAAATGGTAATTTGTGTGGGCCTCTCCCTTTGGAGGTTCCCCTGTACACACTCACACTCACACACACACACACACATACACACACACACACACACACACACACGCACGCACGCGCGCCAAGGTGGGTCTTCAGACTGTCCAGAAAGAAACCTCTCTTATGGGAGTTGCCAACTTTGTGTTGCTTACTTTAGCACGTGACTTATTTCTCTACACTTTGGATTACAAGTTCCTTGAGGCAAGAGCAGTATGTGATTCAAATCTACAGCCCTAGTGCCTGACATGGGACCTAGCACAAAGTAGGCAATGAATAAATTTATGTGGATGGATATGCATGAAGCCCCCAATTTTCCTTCTCCTGTACCCTTTTGCTGAGTGAGGTAGTGTCCTTAGTCCTGAAAGGAACTGTAGAAAGCCTTCAAAAATGAGTAGGCAAAACAAGTAGGCAGTGGGTGTCTATTTTAAAATTGAACCCAAGGCTGGAGGGATCTCAGTACACAGATCCATGAGTATAAAAATTTAAATTGTATTTTCTATAACCACATTCTGTTTCTAGCTCCGAATGTCATTGTACCGGGCTTTACGTTGGGTCATTCTTGGGGTTTTCCACCCTGCCTCAGAGTTCTACTGGGCCATGAGCACAGGGCCAAAAGCTCACTTGAAAAGGGGAAAGGAAAAGGAGAAATGCTAGCAAGAAAAAATAAAACCTAAATTATTGTGTCAAAATATTATACAGCCGCATATGCATAACATGCTGAGGGACCTGAGCTATTAGTGATGATGGAGGAAAAGAAATGAAAGAAATTTGTGGATTTTTTTTCCCCAAACACACCCACCACATGTACAGTTGCTGGCAAGAAAACGTTACAACAAAGTTCTGAACTAAGTTAATGTAAATGACACCAGTTTCATCCCAGCATTCAAATCCCGGCAGTGTCCGCGCAGGCATTGGGGCAGCTCTGCTCTGAGCAGCCTACGGAAGACACAGGGCCTAGGGGATCTCCAGATGGGGCAAAACAACTAACGGCCAAATGGAACATCCCAAGACGGACATCGTCATTCTTCCACGTACATACACCCAGCTGGCAGCAGGACGTAACTGAAGGCTCTGGATTGATCACAGAGAAAGAAGACATGAAGTGCATTCAGATTTAGTCACCAGGCCTAGAATAACTGTCTTGACAGACAACCCTGGAAATGCAGGAGAGAGAATTCCGGGGCACAGCATAATCTATGGGAGCTAGTCATCTAAAAGGTGAGACAGGACACCCCCACACACACACACACATCAAAGAAAAGAACAGTTCTAGAGCTTAGAACAATTAATGGGAAAGGACTGTTGAGATTGGGCCTAGGGAGGGAAATATCTGTCTTTCTACAAAATTACTTTTTCCTGTGTTAGAAATATTAATTGGCTAACCTTGACCTTAACCCAATGTATCACTCAGGGTCCAGTAAGAGACCAAATACCTATGTGTACACACAACACACACACACACACACACACACACACACACACATGCATGCTACAGGGATTTTTACCTTACATAAGTCTTTTCTTTTTTTTTTTTGAGACAGAGCATCATTCTGTTACCTAGGCTAGAGTGCCGTAGTGTCAGCCTAGCTCACAGCAACCTCAAACTCCTGAGCTCAAGAGATCCTCCTGCCTCAGCCTCCCAAGTAGCTGGGACTACAGGCATGCACCACCATGCCCGCCTAACTTTTTCTATATATTTTAGTTGGCCAATTAATTTTCTTTCTATTTTTAGTAGAGACAGGGTCTCACTCTTGCTCAGGCTGGTTTCAAACTCCTGACCTGGAGTGATCCACCCATCTCGGCCTCCCAGAGTGCTAGGATTACGGGCGTGAGCCACCGCGCCCGGCCTGACCTTACATAACTCTTGGAACAGGTTGAGCAGTCTCTGTAAGACTGTTGTCTTCACGTCCCATTCTTGAACTTGAAGCCCACAGGGCAGGCAATCAGTAAGGCAATCAGACTTGGATGTAAGATCTGAGAGAAGAATAAGCTGTAACCCACAAGCATGAGCTGGGGCCCATGAGGATGGAAACCCTGTCAGTTCTTGTTGCCTATGAGCTGGATGGGATGGGTGTCCTGCAGCAGCCAGAGCCCTTTGCCATGGAACTAAAAAGCATGACCTGGCCTCAGAGTCAAGATGCTACAGGGGAATCCCGGGGAAGGTGCACGGGTGCAGGCCCCACTGTGGTCCTGTGTCAGCAGCGGTCCCCAACCTTTTAGGCCACAGGAACCGGTTTCATGAAAGACAATTTTTCCACAGATGGGGGCAGGGGGAAAGAGCTCAGTAGCAATGCAAGCCATTGGGAGTGGCTGTAAATACAGATGAAGCTTTGCTCTCTGCTCACATCCTGCTGTGTGCTCCCCCCCTCCTTAGTTTCATGGACGATAATTTTTCCACAAACAGGGATGAGGGTGAGGAGACTGCAGCCTGGGGTTTGGGGCCTGAAGAGCTAAAGCGTGGTTGGTCGCTTTTTCTCTTCTGTTGCCAAAGCACTCAAGAATCCCTCCTGTGGTGCACCCTAACAGGAAACACAGGAAAAAGGATTTGGGGAATTGAACTTTGACCTAGCCAGATTGACACAAATCACAAAACTGCCATACCCAATTTGAAGAAGGGAGTGAATGGTGTTTTAGTTTTCTTGTGTGTGTACATGTGTTGTCTTTTAGTCTAGGTCAGGGTTTCTCCACCCCTGAATATTGACAATCCCTCCACATTCTCCCACGACATCCCGCGCATGTCTGAGTGCTTGCCCTGGTCACGTTATCATCTCACATTTCTTCCCTTCGCTCTGGGCTGAGCACTCCTTGAGCT